CACACACACACACACACACACACACACACACACACAAACACTCTGCGGCCCCTCCTCTGGCTTTATAGCGCTTTGTGTTTTTTGTTTTCCGATAATTCCCTTGGCATCTACTAGAGGGAGCCTAACTAACCTGTTTGAATGAGTTTTATCGTTTTTGTCACTTCTAACACACAAGCCCTCACACACACCCATTGGTTTCCTCCGCGTCCTGCCGTCAACATGCCCAGAGGTGCGTTCAATCTCCCCTCCTAATGAAGCATGAGGCCGAAAGGGGAGTTTCTCCAGGCAGGGGCCGAAAATAAGGGATGAATGGATGATAGAGGGGGGCAGTGAAGGAGTGGAGAGAAGGGGGTTGAGCAGGGGCCGTCTTTGATACAGCGCTGGCCCGGGCGGGGGGTAGTGTGTTTTTTAGCCAGAAGATTCACCATTCACACTCCTCTGTCGGTCGCTCGTTTGAAGCGCCTTCACAAAGAGGAGTTTGTGGGCCGGGGGCCAAAAGGGGTTTTGTCATTCACAGAGTCCCTCTCCTCCTCCTCTTTAACCTCTCGCTCATTCTTTCGCTCTTTTGAAATGAGAAGTGCTTTATCGGGCAAGAACGCAGCCAATTAATGTTCAACCAACAGCCCGAATGGCTACAAAACTACACTGTAAAAATGATTTTGTGAAGGTTCGTTTTATAAAGAAAATAGTATTTCAGTCTTTCTACATCAAATGTGACCCTGTGGTCACAAAACCAGTCTTAAGTGTCAATTTTTGGAAACTAATATTGATACATCATCTGAAAGCTGAATAAATAAGCTTTCCATTGATGTATGGTTTATTAGAATCGGACAATATTTGGTCGAGATACAGCTAAAATCTGGAATCTGAGGGTGCAAAAAAATAATAATTTCAAAATAAGTTGTCCAAATGAAGTCCTTAGCAATGCATATTACTAATCAAAAATGAAGTTTTGATATATTTATGGTAGGACATTTACAAAATATCTTCATGGAACATGATCTTTACTTAATATCCTAATGAAAATGTAAATAAGAGTTTTAAGTGAGTGTTCTTTAGGCCTCTTCATTGTTTACGCTTAATAAGAAATTGCATGCCCTTTGTTCAGCCAAACTACAAACTACATTTTGATTTAAATGCATTATTACATATTTTAAGAATTCAAAATCTAAATCGTAATCAACAGTCTACCTAAGCTCTCTTCTGCTCTGCTCAATGATCCTGACAGATGAATTAATAGAAGTATAAAATGCAGGGAAGAGTGCTTCAGTGAAAGTGGTCTGGACTCTGTGTAGTAGAGTCATTGTGTCTGAGACGCTGTAGAAGGACAGAGTTCCTGCTTTGTGATCCAGATACACTCCTATTCTAGAGGAGGGGAGAGCAGGGATTGAGACTTGTTTCTTGTCATGAATGAAACGGTTGTGGGACAATCTCCAGGATATTTTGTTGAAGCCAAGTTTACAGTCATCACGGTTTCCTTTACGACCAATTCCTTTGTAACAAACTGCTACAGCCCAGTCGTTCCCACTGCACTCAACCTCCCAGTAACAGCGGCCGTACAAACCCTCTCTACACAAGATGTAGAGAAACGTATCAAATCGCTCTGGGTGAACAGGATATTTCTGGACTACATCTGAATATGATATTTTCCTGTTATCTTCTGACAGTTTGAGGTTTTTGTGTGCAGTGTTTGGATCCAGGTGAAGTTGACAGAAATCTGAGAAGGATGAATGGACAAAAACAAATATTGAACAAAATTCACTTTGTTTCCAAAACGGTCACATTGTAACCGATCATTTCCACTGATATTTATCAACTGATGAGTGTTTGCTCTACTTACACTGCAAAAAATCATCTGAAGTCTTAGGCTCCTGAGGCTTTACAACATGAACGCATGACACTAAAGAGACAGCAAGAAACAAACTTATGATTAACTTGGTGGTTTAATCCTCTCATTACAGAGCTATGCATCTTAAAAAAAGGCCTATTAATACCTAATTTAATGATGCTTAGTTCCAAAATATAAATAATATATAAATATATAAATCCATCATGTCCAGTTTTTTCACAAAACAAGAAAGGAGATTCTTAAAATGCAGCTCTACTTACACTGCAAAAAATCATCTGGAGTCTTAGGCTCCTGAGGCTTTACAACATGAACACATGACACTAAAGAGACAGCAAGAAACAAACTTATGATTAACTTGGTGGTTTAATCCTCTCATTACACAGCTATGCATCTTAAAAAAAGGCATATTAATACCTAATTTAATGATGCTGAGTTCCAAAATATAAATAATATATAAATATATAAAATATATAAATCCATCATGTCCAGTTTTTTCACAAAACAAGAAAGAAAATTCTTAAAATGCACTTAACAAAAGCAGTCAAAAGTTTCATATATAATTTAGCTTACAATATGCAAAGAAGTGGAAAATATGTTCAAATACTCCATTTAATGTCAAAGAACTTTATATGAAAACAAGCTTATATATAAATAAGGTTTTACAAAATCTGCTATTTTCACTGTTTGAATGTAGCAAAACACTCACAGATGTAGATGTTACAGAAAACATCTGGCTCATTTTGCATTTTCTTTCGTCACTGCCCATCAGTATTAGGCATAAAATAATGTACTCAGAATAATTTATGAAGATGGGCTGAGAATTGAGTTAAAGGGATAGTTCACCCAAAAATGAAAATTCTATAAAAAGCGCCCATCCATTAAAAAAAAAGTGTCTCACACGGCTCACACATAACACACACACACCAACCACTGTAACATCTGATTTCGGAAAATGTAATGATAAACCAAGGGAATCATGTCTTTGTGGTGTTTTTTTCTGGTGATTAAGGGATTAGACTTCTTCAATTTACAAATGGTTGTTAAAAGAAAACAAATTCTAGAAATGCATCATATTTTTTGAGAAACTTTGACATGCTCAAGCACCCCAAAATTAGTAAGAAATTTCTGGATTTCATTCATGACTGACAATACAACATATTAAAACATTCAAACCTTCTTGAGATATTCTGGCTGTTTGCTGTTGACAGACGTCCTCCAAAACCTCTCTGAATGCTGAGATTGAAATGTCTTTAAAAGACAGATGAGTGTGTTGAGTGAAGCTGGGAACGTCTTCAAATGTGGGTAAAACACACGCAGACTGACAGCTCTGAAATGAGACAAATAATTCAGACTTAATTTGTGAAGCACAACTAATCTTTTCCAAAACATGAAACAAGTATTAGTGCTTCATTTTTAGATTCTCAACATTTCTGCATCATTACCTTCAGACAATGGATCTGATCATCAGTAATCAGAAGTTTCTCAATCTCTGTTTGTCTTTTTCTGAGTTCTGTCAGCTCTCGATCCAGATGTTTGTGAAGCTCCTCTGCTCGATCTATCTCAGTCTTCTCCTGAGCTCTGATCTGCTCTTTAATCTCAGAGCGTTTCTTCTCCAGAGAGCAGATGAGCTCAGTGAACACCTTCTCACTGTTCTCCACGGCCTCTTGTGCTGAACTCTGTTGGAGACAGAAAATTGTGATCACGCAGATCATTGTCGTGACTCAGCTCTTTTTAGTAAATCCTTCCAAACTATTTTTTTTTTTTACATTTTTGGAGCTTGAAAGCCTCAGGTCACCATCTACCTTTATTGAATTTAAAATATCTGTGTTTCCAACCAACATTAGTTTGTAATACAAGTATAAAACAAAAAAAATGCTTAAAAAACATACTTTAAGGAGCTTCACAGCTTCACTGAGTTCCTGCTGACCTCTCTCACGTTCCTCGATCAGCTTTTGACACGCCACCTTGATCTCTTTTAACTCTTCCTGAGGATGTTAACATAAAAAAAACGAAACAAAAGGTAAAAATAGACATTCCTGTTTGATAAAAAAGTTTAACAAGGTGAATCAAAATTACAGCCTATACATTTATGTAATATAAAAATAATCATTACTTACACTATTTGTATTAAAAAAAATTTTTTTTCATTGATAGATAAATATATACCTTTTTACTAGTCCATTCTGAATCCACAGACACCACTCTGTGGCCATCATGGTTATCAATCATACACAAATAACAAACACATTGACCATCATCCTGACAGTAAATATCTAGAGGTTTTTCATGACGGAGGCAGATGTTCTCCTGAATGCTTCTGGAGGCTTCGACTAGTTTGTGCTTCATAAACGCAGGAGATTGATAGTGAGGCTGCAGGTGAGTTTGACAGAAGGAGGCCAAGCACTGCAGACAGGACTTTACAGCTCTGTTCTTCTCTGTAGTGCAAACATCACACTCCACAGCAGCCGTTTGTAGAGACGTCTTCTGCAGCGTCTCCATCA